TTTATTTTTTAGTTTTAGGTGGACACAATATCTTTATTTTATTTATTTTTATATGGTGCAGAGGATTGAACCCAGGGCCTCACACACGCCAGGCAAGCGCTCTACCACTGAGCCACAAGCCCAGCCCCAGACAGGCTTTTTAAGAAGTTTACTTGTAGAACAACTAGGCACTGGAAGATGATACTAAAAACTTCCAGAGAGACACAACAAACAGAGAAAAATAAGCAAATGTAAACAAAACATCAGGTAACTTTCGGAAAAGGGAATGTGGAAGGGCCTTTGACTTCACAAGGAGAGCTCTAGTAACCAGAAGACAGCAGAGAACTGTTTTCAAATTCCTAAGGAAAAAATGATTCTCAACCTGGAGTCCTAACATGGCTAAACTATTGTTAAAGTGATAGCAGAATAGCTGGAAGGCACGAGGAGGTGAAACACAACACAACCCAGCACAACAATGATAATAAAACCTGGGCATGGTAGCACATGCCTGTAATCCCAGCAACTCAGGAGGCTGAGTTGGGAGGATGGCAAGTTTGAGGCTAGTTTCAACAACTTACTGAGGCCCTAAGCAATTTAGTGAGACACTGTCTGAAAATAAAAAATAATAAGGGCTGAGGATAAAACTCTGTGGTAAAGTACCCCTGGATTCGATCCTCAGTACCAAAAACAAACCTTGCCTGCCACACACCCTTCCCTTGGAGACTATAATGGTAAGGTAACAACTCCTTAGAGAAATTCAGTATTTTCCAGGTCTGTTCTGGTTATTTTACATGGATCATTTCACTCGATCCTGACAACAATTTGGTGAAGTGGGTGTTATTATGAAGTTAAGGCACAGAGAGGTTGACCATCTTGCCCATGGTCACTCCAGATAGCAATGGAGAGTGGGGGATGAATCCCTGTGTCTGGTTCCAGAATCAGGGCTTTTCTGTCCTGTGACACTGCCCCTAGGACACACAGGCAATGAGAGGCAAGCTGAGAGCAATATCCCTCGGTCATAATGGTGGAGATTTCAAATACCAATTTAACGAGAGTCACCAGGAAACTGCCCTGGGAAGGTGCACAGGTGTTTCGTGGGTGTGGCATGGCGGGCTAGAGTCAGGGTCTCCTTTCTCCTAGTGAGTGAATAGATGACCTCCCGACTGACAGACCAAGCAGATCCCTCTCTGCCTAGCCTCCAGAAGGTCCTCGGCCAGGGTTGGTGGATGAATAATGTTCTAAGGCTCTATTTCACACCCTCACTGGCCCAGTCAGACAGTGCTGCCACAGAAATCCTTCTTAGTTAGTAAAACAGCGGACACAAGGTCTATGTCACAGAGGAATATCCGCAACAGGCCTCAGTAAAAAATAGCAAATTGCAGAACAGCATGATACAGTAATTTCATTTTTAAAAAATTTTTATAGGGCTGGGGCTGTAGCTCAGTGGCAGAGTGCTTGCCTCACATGCATGAGGCACTGGGTTCGATCCTCAGCACCACATAGAAATAAACGAATACAATAAAGGCATGCTGTCCATCTACAACTACAAAAAGTATCAAACCCAGTGCCTCACAAGTGCTAGGCCAGTGCTCTGCCACTGAGCTACAGCCCCAGCCCCAGGAATTCCATTTTGAATGAATAGAATCTACATGTATATAGGTATAAATTTATAAATATACAGGGCTATAGACATAGAATAAAAGTCTGCAATGATGTCTAAGGTACCTTTAGTGGGAGGGAGATAGAAAAGAGGGAAATGAGCCAGGTGTGGTGGTGCACGCCTGTCATTCCAGCAGCTTGGGAGGCCGAGGCAGGAGGATTGCAAGTTCAAAGCCAGCCTCAGCAACAGTGAAGTGCTAAGCCACTCAGTGAGACCCTGTCTCTAAATAAAATACAAAATAGGGCTGGGGATGTGGCTCAGTGGTCAAGTGCCCCTGAGTTCAATCCCTGGTACCCATCCCCCAACAAAAAAGAGAGAAATGTTTCTCATGGGATGCTGGAGTAGTTCGTAAGTCTTAGCAATGAGTATTTTGTAATAATTAAACATTAAAGATTTAAAATGTATTTAAATATCAACACACACACACACACACACACACACACACTTTAGTTTATGTGATTTTCCTCCAAAAGCCAGGCACAATAGCACATGCCTATAATCCCAGCAACTTGGGGGGTCAAGGCAGGAGGATTGCAAGTTAGACCCTAAGCAACTGAGTGAGACCCCGTCACCTATCACAAAATTAAAAATAAAAAGCCTGGGGATGTGGCTCCATGGTTAAGCACTCCTGGATTAAATTCATAGTACCAACAATACAAAACCTCTCCAAAATAGTGCTGATCTCTTGCCCAGTGTGCCTGGGGCTCTGGGCTCTATCCCCCACACAGCAAAACAAAGCAACAGAAAACCCACAAACAAGAACCTCTCCATAAAATAAAATCCACTCTCCCTCCATGTCCTGTAAGCCTCCTGTGACTGTCCCTATGCATTTTATCTCCACCTTCTGGTTCTCAGCAGCCTGTGGGGGCCTCTGTCAGGGTCTCCTTATGCTCCCTTTGCCTGGACCCCTCCCCTCCTACACCTTCCTTCACTCAAGATTTCAACTCAGTGACACCTACCCTGAGCTTCCCGGACCCTGCACAGAAGGGTGTCCCCACACACAAAAACCGCACTATGTCACTCTGGGTCTCATAGGACTTATCATTACGTGTGTGTGTGTGTGTGTGTGTGTGTGTGTGTGTTTGCGGATTTTCTCTCCCCTCCCTCCCGGACAGCAGGGCTTGGCTGGTTCGCTCCTGTGGACTCCCAGGTGCCTGCAATACTGTGCTCCGTGACACAGAGCAGAGGACCCTCGATGCTGAACTGATGCGGGAGGGGCACCCGTGCTAAGCGGTTGGAAGGATGGATGCCTGGGCGGGTGGAGGGGGGGTGGAAGGGTGTGCTTCTCCAGGCCCCCAGCTGCTCCCTCCCTCCTGCCTTGGGAATGCAGTAAAGCTAAGGAGGCCCCCCCAGTTCGCCGGGCCCTGTTCTCAGCACAGTGCCTGGCCTTACAGACCCTGTGCGTCACTTCGTTGAATCATCACCACACTGAAGTATCTTCAGGCTCTCAGTTTCTAGACGAGCAAAGTGGGGCTCAGGGAAGTTATGTTACTTGCCCCAAGCTACACAGCTGCTGAGGACATGGACCCGGGACTGACAGGGTTGGAGGGGGTGGGCAGGTCCGGAACACCTGAAGACTCTGGGGGCCCAGATTGGGGTGCTCAGGCATCCAACCAGGAGCCATTCCCCAGATCTAAGCACTTCCTCTGAAATTCTCACTCGGTGGGCCCAGCCCCAGGCCTAGTGGGTTTCTGATAAGTGGGCCAAACCCTCATACTCCAGGAAGGAAATCTGAGGCCACACAAGACCCAAAGGGAGTACCCCAACCCGTGAGTGGAAAGCCAGTTGGCCACGGGGAAAGCCAGCCAGCAGGAAGGAGGCCGCCCGCAGAGCCTGCAGGGCCGAGCCACCAGGGGGCGCCCTCCTCAAGCCCGACTGGTGATGGGTCGGTCCTGGAACCCACTGGCCCAAGGGAGGGTGTGTGGAGCTGGGGTCACTCACACCCATGGAAGGAGAAGCTGGGAATAGAGCTGGTGAGAGACACCCTCTCTACATCGTGTGAATTTTCTACCAAGAGGATGTGTTTCTAGTGTAATTGCACATAAGCGTAAAAGCACAAAAGAGGGAGGAGGGCTCACGATGATCCCAGGCTGAGGCAATTCCACCGCAAGTTCAAGGTCAGCCTGGGCGATTTAGCAAGACCCCATCCCCAAATAAAACTTTTTAAAGGGTTGGGGATGCAGCTTAGTTTTAGAGCGTTGGCCTAGCGTGAGCAAGGCCCGGGTTCCATCCCCAGCACCAAAAGAAACACAGCAACAAAACCAAAGATGGTATTTCCTGGGTTGGGGGCCTTTCTGGCCCTGGGGCTGAAAGTTGGTCTTGAGGGGACCCCACCCTACCTCGAGAGCTTCCAGGTGGAGTCCTTTAATGGATGCCGGCTGTGAGTTCCAGGCACCCTGATGGGAGGGTTCTAAACAGACCTGCACACAGGCATCCCTGGGTGCCGGGCTTCCAGCCTCCTCCGTGTCTCTGCCTCAAGGGGCCGCAGACACCCTGGAGAACCCCCACTGAGGATTCAGTCCCTTAACTGGACCACCTGACCTTTGGTTCAGGGATGCCTGCATCAGTACACCAAGATTCCCTTTGGGTGACCTCCACAGTCCTGTCAGGTCCCAGGCCCCTGGGGCCAATCTGCTCCAGGAAGGATGCTGGACCCTGGGGTAGACAGACAAAAGAACCTTCTGGCCCAGGTCTCTGCGGTAACTGGGACCCTCGGCCTCTGCTGAGCAAGGGGTCCTCAGAGCTTTCCCCTGATCCAGCAGTACTCAGCTGGTCGCGGGAGAGACTGACTAGGTTGTCATGATGGGCAGCGTACCGTCATGGAGCAGGGAGGGGTTGAGGATGCTGCTAAGCCTCTTTTGGTGCCTAGGACAGTCCCCAAACAGAACTGTCCCGCCCAAAGTATCAGCAGAGAAGCTGCTAGACACACACAGCAGGGAGTAGGACTGTGGGTGGGGGCGAGTTTGAGGGAAAGACAGTGAAGAACTGAGGAAGGGGTTGGTGGGGGCGGCGAGTGTGCAGAGCGCTGGCCTTGGGTCGGTCCGACCGACCGGGGGCCCACTGGCTGGTGGGAGCCCTGTGCAGGTCACTTTGCTCCCTAAGCCTCAGCGTCCTCGTGTTGGAGTCCACGGGTTGGCTGACATAAATGTGCAAGAAGCTAACCTGGTCCTTGGCACACGGAAGAGGCTCATCAATGAGAGGTGGGGGATGCAGGGATGAGTAGCTCACTTCCCCCCAGAGCTCAGTTGACCTTGGAATTCCAAGGAAGACCCGGAGCCATTTCTTCTTTTCGTCTCCCCCGGCCCCCCAGGTGCTCAGGCGCCCACCCACGCCTGGAAGGGGCGGCAGGCCCTGAACTCACCGTTGTGGCTTTCTCCATCACTGGTGATATACGGGTAATATTCATGCGTCTGGCGTTGGTACAGGTCCGTGTCATAGGGAACCAGGTCTTCTGACGGCTGCTGAGAGAGGAGGGTGTCAAGGCCTGGGCTGGTGGGGAGGCCCCAGCCAGGTTGGCGGCCCCCACAACAACACCTTCCCTCACCAAGGGACCCTGTTGACCCCGCAGCTCTCCCTCTGCTTGAAATCCACAAGGTCAGGGCCACGGGGAGGGGGCGGGGCCCCAGGAGAGCTAAAGGCAGTGATGGGGGCCCTAGAGGTCAGAGATCACAGGAGGACAGAGGAGAAGGAGCAGCCCCCTGCCCCGCTTGTCTGGGCCCCACAACTCTTTTTGGTTTGGATCTGAAATGCCCCCCACAGCCTCATGTAGGAGGCTTGGTCCCCAGTACAGCAGTATTCAGAGGTGGGACTTGGGAAGTGCCTGGGTCCTTAGAGCTTTGGCCTCAGGATTACTCCATTGATGGATTCATAGCTGATTGGACTTTGGGGACGGGATAGAAACTGTGGGAGTGCGTCCTTGGGGGTGGGCCCTTGGGGAGTCTACCTTGTTCCCAGTCCCTTCCTCCAAGCTCTCTCTCTTCCCAGCTGCCCGGAGGTGAGCGGCTTTGCTCCACCACACCCTCCTCCCCATGATGCTCTGCTTCACCACAGGCCCAGAGCAACGGAGTTGGCCACCCCTAGACTGAAACCTCTGAAACCGTGAGCCAAAATAAATCTTTCTCCTTTTAAGCTGTTTTTCTTGGGTATTTTGTCATAGCAACGAAAAGCTAACAAAGTCCCCTCACGCTCATACTCATGTTCACGCCTGTGTGGTCCAGATCATGGTCTCACATGTTCACCTCTCGCATCCACACAGATGCACCCGTTCCCCCAAACGCACGCACACTCCCTGTGACACCGGTACAGCCCCAATCCCACTTGTGGGCTCGCTCTCACAGCTCATCCTCTCACTCTCTCAGCCACTGTACCCATCCATGCATGTCAAGGCTGACACCCTCATCTTTGTTGTTGTTTGTTACTAAAGATCGAACCCAGGGGTGCTTAACCACTGAGCCACATCACCAGCCCTTTTTATTTTTCTATTTTGAGACAGGAGTCTGGCTAAGTTGCTGAGGCTGGCTTTGAACTTGACATCCTCCTGCCTCAGCCTCCCAAGCTGCTGGGATGACAGGCGTGCGCCATCACGCTTGGCACCCACACACACCTTTACACCCACTCACACACACGACCCATGCACCCTGTACACTCACCCCTGTGGGCACACGCAGAGTTGCACGAACTGACATATGCACACCCACTGCATTCCAGCCACCAAAGGTCACACCCACCACCTCCCACATTCCACCAGCATGCTCCACAGCACCCTGGGGTCCTCCTCTCACAGCCTCCCTGCCCACCCCAACTCTCCCTCACAGCCTGTGTCCAGGTCCCAGACAGGCTCAGGCCCACCGCCATGACCATCCTACTAATGGTTTGTACAGAAGTCATCCTGACAGGCGGCCTTGGGGGCCAGGGGACAGAGGCCTGGATCCCCCATCCCCTCACTGGATATTCCCTTCCCTCCTCCTTCCTTCACCTGCCTCCCCCTCCCCCCTCCTCCCAGTCCTCCTCCTCTTCCTCTCTCCCCCTCCCCACCCCCAGCTTACTGGCTCCCCAGAAGTCCTCTGCCTCTCCCCACCCCCACAGCCTGTGCCCAAGGATTGCACAACAATTACCGTGACCCTTAGGGCTTGGCATGGGGGACCAGGGCTGTCTTGAGAACCCATTGTCCCCAGAGACACTCAGAGAGGCCCCTGGGGCTGAAGAGAGGGGCGGGGGTCTAAGGTGGAAACCCAGGATCTGTTCCCTACCCAGCTCTGTGGGGAGTTCAGGGTTGAGAGGTCAAAGGTCAGAGACAGTAGGGCCAAGCACCTGGGCCTGGGGCTTTCTTGAGGCAGAATGGGCTCTTGCTGGGACACCCCCCTCCATCCTCCCCTGCCCCCAGCACCTGCTGAGTCCCAGGTTTGGGAAGGGGTTCCCTCGGGCACTGTCTGCCTCAGGCCGAGAAAGGGGAGCCCAGTCCTGAGCCTGCCTCCCCGGGTCCCAGGCAGCCAGCCCAGGATGCTGGCCGTGATGTCAGGCCGGGGTGCCTCCAGGGCTCCCAGCCACAGCGGGAGGGGGAGGGGCGCTGCCGCTAGGCCGGGAAAGCTGAGTCAGGGGGCAAGCCCTGCCCTTCCCAGTGCCCCCACCCTGGGCCTCCCCATCGGACAGGAGACGGGAAAAGGGAGAAGGGTCCTTTCTGAGGGACCCTGACACCTGTCTTGGGCGGCAACTGTCACTGAGAGCGGGGAGCCTTGCAGACTGGCCCGCCCGCTGCCCTTCCCTCCCTGGGTCTCCTGGGACTCTGCGCCTCCACCCCCAGACCCGGTGCTCATCCTAATTCCAATCTGCCGCTCATCCCAGTCCTACCCCAGACTCAATCTCAGTTGCCACCTGGTCCCAACCCGTCCCTGCCTCTTCCTAACTCAACCCGAGCTACAGTGTCACTGCTCAGCCTCCTCCTGCCCTGCCCAGCCCAGCCCCAAGCCCCTGGCCCAGTCCAGGCCCCCACCCCCATCTCTCAGGGACCTGAAGGCCCAGACCATTTGGTCAACAGATATGTCCTCTGTGCCAGGCCCAAGACGAGGCGTTGGGGACTCATTGGGGGCCCAGAGTTCCAGGATCCTGGGTCTCTTGAAGTCGGTGGGCCCCGGCTGAGACCTCTGCCTGCTGCCTTCAGCAGGCAGCCGACCCCTTCCTGCCCGGGGGCTGGCCTCCCGCAGGCCAGTGTCCCCGTCTCCTCCTGTGCTTCTCTGCTGCCACCCTCACCAGCCTCAGCCCAGTCCCCTGCCCTGGAGCTGGGCCTGCCACCCAAGCGCTGCTATAAATAACCGTTCAGGCCCCATGGGTCACAGCCCACGGTGGGCCAGCCCTAGCCCGCCAGGCCCGGAGGAAGCCAGTGGCCCCTCACAGGTCTCAGGCCAGGAGCTCCAGGGAGGAAACGCCAACTTCCCACTGATAGCGGCCCCCTCGAGTGGGCTGGCGGGCTGCTTCCGAGGGCCGCTGGGCCAGTGGAGGAGTCCCAGTACTCACAGGGGGGACGAGGGGAAACCCTTCCATTGTGCACGCCTGTAACATCCAGCCGAGCTCGGAGCCTGTCAGATGCCCTGCCTCGGTGGGGGCCAGCGCGGGGCCCCTCAGGTCGGGGTGCCCCGTCGGGGGGCTGGATGGCCGTCGGGCGGACGCAGGGCTCAGGCCTGCCCCCTGAGCTACAGGAGCCCTGGGTGAGCCCCCTCCCTCGACATTGCAGGGCCAGCGCAAGTTCCTGATTTTATCGAAGGGCCTGCCGCTGGGAGATAGTCCCCTTGGGGTGACATCACCACCCCAGCCCTTTGCATAAATCTCTTGCGCTACAGGAAGTCTCTGGCCTGCTGGGGCAGGTGGTGCTCAAGGGGCTGGCTTGGGAGGCCATGGGGGCCAGGCCCCCTGCCCAGAGGAAGCTGGGGCTGGGAAAGAGAAAGGCTGGCCACCACCAGAGGCCCGGCCGCCCCTCGCTCAGGCCCTGCGGAGGCTCTCTGTCACGTCTACTTCTCGTGAGGCCCCTATGTGGCCGACGTTTAGCTCCTTGGGGTCAGAGTGGTGGCATTTTGGGGCCTGTACTTTCTGGGGTAAGGCTGGCTCTGAGCCCCTGACTGCCAGGCGGGCTGCCCTGTGGCCTGCACCCTGGCCGCCGGGTTCCTCCTGGTCTGGGGCTGGGCTCCAGGGCTCTTCAGGGTATCGCTGCTCTCCCCCTTCCCTCGGAGTCCCCTCACCTGACTTCCATCCCATCACGAGGGTCTCCTGCCAGCTTCCTGAACCCCACAGCTCCTCCCAAATCCCAGGAGTCTCCGTTTCCTGACCCTTTGTCAGTGCTTGAATATTGGTTTGGTTTTCCTAGTTTATATTTATTTCTCTTCTCCCTCTCTCTCTTTCTTTTGTACTGAAAATTGAACTAACACTCCTTCTCTCCCCACCCCCCTCTCTCTCTCCTGAGAATTGAACCCCGGGGCACTTTACCACCAAACCATGTCCCCATTTTTATTTTTTATTTTTAGACATGGTCTTGCTAAGTTGCTGAGGCTGACCTCCAACTTGTGATCCTCCTGCCTCAGCCTCCTGAGTCACAGGGATGATAGGCATGTGCCACTGTCCCCAGCATTTACAAACCTTTCTTGTCTGTCCATCCAATCATTTATTTCCCCATCCACCTAATTTATCTATCTATCTATCTATTCATTTATCTACCTATCAAGCCAACCACGAATTTATTTACCTGCTTATCCAACTGTTCACTAAGTTTTTGATTTATCTGTCAATTCATCTACCTATTCATCTGTTTATCTATCGGTTCATCTATATGTCTATACATGAGCCCATCCATCTACTATGTATCAGAACTTATTAGCACCATATGTCCATCTACCAATCTAGTCATCCATTGGTCTATCCACCCATCCACCCATCCACCCATCCACCCATCCACCCATCCACCCATCC